AACCTGCTGTAAATCCTATGGTGCATGCGTGGGGGAGAAGGCTTCAACTGAGTCCTTTCTATAATCTGGCTTCCTGATTTCTTGGACTCCAAGCCCTATCATGCCCAGCTGTTAGGGTTATATTGGATGGGTGTGATAGGAGTGTTCAGTCGAATCCACCTGGAGAAGGTCCTTAGTTTGGGTGTGTAAGACTTTTTTAAAAACCCTCTAGTCAGTGTTTCTCAACCTTGACAATGTTAAGGCATGTGGACTTCAACTCCCAGAATTCCACAGCCAGCAATGCTGGCTGTGGAATTCTGAGAGTTGAAGTCCACATGCCTTAACATTGTCACGGTTGAGAAACACTACTAGTCTAACAGTTCCTCCAGGTATGCCGGAACTTCAAATCCCAGAATTCTCACTATTTAATATTCTGGGAATCCCAGCAATGACAGAGGATGCCAGGTTGCACTGTGGTCTAATACTCTCTCCTTTGCTGTAGGTGGAAAGAAAAAGCCCTTGAAGCAACCCAAGAAGCAGTCGAAAGAATTAGATGAGGTGGGGAAAAAGTGAGAGGGAACGGAAGGAGGAGGTTGGGGCTTCTGGTGAGATTGCATGATTTAAGAAGATGGTCAATGCTTGGTGTCCATTTTTAACTCTAGTTGGTAAATATCTTAACAGGAAGATAAAGCTTACAAGGAGAAGCAGAAGGAGCAGCAAAAGAAACTGGATGAGATGAAGGCAAAAGCTGCTGGCAAGGGCCCTCTTAGTAAGTTGCTTTCTTTTAAATTCCCTGCATAAGTTGCTTTCTTTTAAATTCCCTGCAAATCTAGCAGTGTAGCTACAGAAGAGTTCAGGATAAGGAAATAGGATTTCTCATGAAATTAGTGGTGAATCACAAGACCTGGACACACATCATTTTAATCTCTGCATATAAAAAATGTTTCAATTAACCAGTTTTTCATTTTGAAGAAAGTCCAAAAAGCCTATAAAGACCTAAAATGAAACAAAACTTTTTGCTAAAAATCTCATGAAACCTGAAGCAACAGATTGAGCATTGTATCATGTCAGCTGTTCAGTATGAATTAGTGAATTACATGAGATGTTGGACATTTAAGGTTTTTTTGGTGCCTGTAACACCAAACAATGGTACCCAACAACTGAAGAAGTCGTAGACTCCTGATATATTGTGGGTCTTAACTATTGTTGATCTTTATGTCCTTTGTATGGCATGGGATAGTATGCTGCTGGTGAATAAGATTTATTGAATGTACATTGGCATGGCCCATATCTATACCTCTACTTTTACTGCAGTTGCCTCAACTATTAGCTACTGCTCCTAACACCAGTACACTTTGGAAGATGGGCTAATGTCTTATTTTGAAGATGGTTTTAAAACATTTAATTATATGTTGAATTGAGACCCAGCTGAACTCACATTTTCAGATCACTGAATTGTCTCAGGAACTTTTTAAAAAAAGGAATATAGTGGAGTATACATATATATTCTACTTGAAGGGGGACAAAGAAAATATTCCTCTTGCCACTTTTTACAGTAGAATTTCTAGTTTGTTTTCATCTGGAATCTTAGCTGGTAGACCCTTCCTAAATTAAGCAAACTTCTTAACATATTTGTGAAACTATATTTATTCTAGTAATGGAACCTATATGTAAATATATAGGATAAAGTATTTTTTTCCCACCCTTGCCTTTTGGATGTGTGGCTGATACAGTATTGTTGCCAATCAGTATGATGTAGACTAACACATCTAGATAGCACCAAGCTAGGATAGAGTAATAATATATTCTTTAATTGGGTTGGTCATTGGAACTTATTGGATGATAAAGCTAAGTAATATAGAAATCTTTCTAATTGTATCTTGATAAAATTTTCTTACCTTTTAAAGACTTCCTGAATTCTTTTAAAGAACTTCCTGGTTTATTTTGCATGTTCAAGGTATTAAGTTGATCATTTCTAGATGGAAGCATGTTTTGTCTGAATATAACCTGGATAGTCAACATGGCATATTTTCCAAATGTGCAGTATTTTCATCCTAAAAGGAAAGGCAGTAGAAAACATTGCACCATTTCTAGAAAACCCCCCCCCCAAAAAAAGGTGGATTCATAGAAATAATCTTCTATAGAGATTATCAGGTCATAAAACCATCTGAGAAGGAGGCAGCGGCAAATCACTTCTGAAGTAAATTGAAGAACATTATATAATCATGTCCATTTACCCGTGAGCAATTGAGCTCAATTAGAGGCAGCATTTACCTTTAAAGCTCAGGCTGAGAAATAAGGTCTGATTCTTTTGTCTAGTGCTGTCTGTCTAAATCTGTTGGTGATACTTCTCTCTCTCCCTCCCCCTTTATTTTTTTGCAGCTGGAGGCGGGATTAAAAAATCTGGGAAGAAGTAGAGAGTTCTTTGGACTGTTGTGGCAAGAAAAAGAGAATGAGTTCCTTCCCTTGATGCTTAGCAGTAGGAAGAATTTCCAAGCTAATGTTGCGGGAAACATTAATATAAGCACCTTTGTACATTTTGTTCAAACGAAATAAAGTATTGGTTTGTTTTAATGACTGCTCACTCTTTCAGCCATGGTTTGTTGTTGTTGTTTTTTGTTTCTGATATTCAGAAAATGCAGAAGATGAAAAGGGGATCAAGTGGTGATGGGAACTGCATATTTGGAAGTGCTAAATTGAGGGGAAACTGTTGTAGCTTCTTGTTTTAGAATAAGGTTCCCCAGGTCTTAATATATTTTGAAGGAGATGTATTAATTGCGTTGTGTTGATAGTGCTTACTAGCAATTACTGCCTGGGGTTATCACATTAAAGGGAATGGTTGGTGATGTTTGGATATTTAGGTTATACTTGAAATCCTGCATAGTTGTAAATTGGGAAATTATTCAAAAGGCATTTTATTGAAGCTAGATAAACTTAGAAGTACCCGGCATCAATCTAAGTATACTGCACGCATCTCAGAATTTGTGGGCTTGCAAGCTAATCTCTAGATTAACAATGCTGGTTTTCACAGAGCAACATGAGCATGGATGGGATAAAACTGGGATTTGATTGACTAGCATTGTTCTTATCTTTAGCAGAGAATGTTGCATACAAAACAGTACGACTGAGGTTAATAATCTACTCTATACTTTATCTTACTAAAAAGATAGAATATGTCAAAGTCTCAATAGACCAAAGCCATGACAGATAGCTGAAATCACTATTTAAATATATTGATGTAGTTTAATGAGAGTACTAATCAGAATTGAATAGTGGAACAAATATAGGAAGGAAAAGAGTATGGGCTAAGAGACAAGGGAAGGTCTAAAAGTTGTGATTGGAGTGAATGAGATCCTAAAAACAACAATAAAAGGCCTGAAGTTTAAAGAATTCATGCAATCTAGTTATCCTCTCTCTCTCTCTCTCTCTCTCTCTCTCTCTCTCTCTCTCTCTCTCTCTCCCTCCCTCCCTCCCTCCACCCCTCCACCCCTCCACCTGTCTGTCTCTCTGATCAAGCTTCAGAAAGCTGTTTGTGGGAGCATGCAAAGAGGGCTTCTCTTTTGTTGAAAGCAGCTGGACAGTATTTTTGAGCTAGGGCAGATCATATATTAAAGGTGTATTTCCAATTATTCAGGTTAGTGGAAATGTTGCTTCCTTAGATAAGAACAAATCACACAGGATAAACACTGGGACATTGAAGGCTCATTGCAAAGGCTCTGAAAAATCAATGTGATGCTGACCACCAGTCTTGATATCAGGTAGTTATGGCACAACAACAGCAATGTTAAAGCAGGAGAAGATGAAGGCCAGGAAAAACTCTTTGGGGGGATAAAGAAATGCAAGAATTTTATCATACACCAGGGCACTTGGGCAGAAGAGAAACCAAACTTCTGAATGTGGAAAAATGTTCAGCCAGAACTCAAGCCTGGTCAACCACTGGCAGATCCATTCTGATGACAAACCCTACAGATGCCTTGACTGTGGCAAAAATTTTCACCTGGGAGAGAAGCTCCATAAGTGCAGTCAGTATGTGTCAGCCCTTTGAGGTAGCCCAGACAAGAAACCAAAACCATGAATACTAAACACTACCTTACTGTAAGGTTACAATAACAACCTTTTAGGTCTAAAAGCACTCTCTGTGATGGCTTGTGGGAAAGACTTTGGGAGATGGGGGGGGGAGGTGCTGCCTAGGGCAGAGGTCCCCAACCTTTTGGCCACCAGGGACCGGTTACGTGGAGAGAGGTCTTTCCACGGACCAGAGGGAGCAAGGTTTTGTGTGCTGCCTGCACTCCACAGATGGGGCTTTTCTTATTTGTGAGGCCCGGTTGCTGGCATGCCGCAGCCTGGTACCAGTCCACAGACCAGGGGTTGGGGACCCTTGGCCTAGGGAATGGTCAGGTAAGAAGGAGCATAGACCACAGCTCAGAGATAGTGGAGCAAGACACTCGAAAGGGACCCTCCCTAGTTTCTCGGGCAGTAAAAAACCTGGCGAGAGAATTATAGTTTCAGACTTGCAAGACTGATCTTGGTCTTACCAGGTAGACCAGTGATGGTGAACCTTTTAGAGACCAAGTGCCCAAAAACTGGAAATTGTAGGACAGATGCATATCACTTTCTTGCGAGTTTTTGCAGTACCCATGGCCACTTTTAAAAATGTGTACTGAATGATGCAATATTTTATTTCAAATAGTACATGGTTTTATATCCTCTATACCTAGGTCTCAAGGCATAAAAGCAATAGCAAAAACCCAGCCCAATAAATCCACAAACTAGCATGATCTGAAGCAACACTAGGTTTCTGCAGAAAAAGCGACTTCTTCCTCTGATGGCTACTTAAACGGTGACCATTTCTCCAGGACCTTATATTATGCATTATGCATCAAAATACATATGTCTGTGGAATACGAAAATAGGGAGGCACAATCTTATAGCTTTTTTAAAAAGCCTGTAACATTTATTGGCAATTATTCATTTGCTCATTCGTTCAGTAAATATATTGTTGAAAAAGTACTTAAAGTGGCTAAAATAATTTAAACCATTAAAAATGCAAATAAATTAATGCATAACACTGCAATTAATGGCACTCAGAAACCAAGGACCTGGGAAAAATAAGGGATGCGGGGAGGGAGAAATCATCCCATACAATATGTAAACTCTATCAGTTGAAGCTAAACAATGTTTACACTGTGAAACGTTTTACAACAGCCGTAGTGGCCCTCGTACAACAACGTACAAATGGCTTCCTTACTCAAATGTAAGGAATGCGTGATGCTGCAATCGCATATTAATTATACAGTTTATATTCAATCATACCCTGTTTCCAAAGTCTGTATTCACACACAATTGACTAATTTGTGGGTTGCGTGAACACAAAGAGGAATTTTCAAGAACCGCACCTCCCTGCGTCCGATCACATACTCTCACAACTGGAAGGCCTTTGGTAGGAAAGCACCCTGCTTCAAAACACACTCTGCACAAGCTCAGAAGCCCTTAAGGCGCTCGCTCTGCCGTTGAGGCAGGGAGTTCCCAGCAGGCCGCTGCGAGATCCCCCGTCGTCCAGCAGGGGGCTCTGGCGTTTGCATCAGGAGGCTTTTGGCTTTGTTTGAACGGGGTCGCTTGGCAGCGTTGAGTTTCCTGGGTCAGAGGTAGCTCTGGCTGCAAGCAGCCGCCTCCTCCTCCTGCTCTTCCATTGTAGACGAGGCGGGCGAGTTGCACGCTCGGGGCTCCTCTCGCGCCCTTCCCCGAAGCCCGGCGGCGCGCGGCGGCGATGTAGGCGGGCGCGCGGACCTTTTGCACCCCGATTTCGCGAGGCACAAAGCGGCTCCGTGGCTTCTCCGCCCCCGCCAACCCGTCTGCGCCCTCCGCGGGACACGGTGCCCGCCGCTGCCGCCTTTATGAGCTCGGGCGTCCGGGAGCACAAGGTAGATTGTCCCCGCCAAGCCCCCGGGAGTGGAATCGGGTGGAGAGCGGCGCGTCGAGTTGCAGGTCTTTGCCTTGCTACCCAGGGCGGGATCATCTCCCCATCCCCCCCCGAGGGTGGGAAGGCAGGACGAGTGAGCGAGGAAGCATAGTGTCTCTGAGCATACGCAAAATACCTTTCCTTTCTGAACTGTCTTGTGTTCCCTTCTCCCATTCCGGGCAAAATGCAAACTGTCGCTTATAGATGTTATTATACTATAGGCTTAGTCTTCCTGTTTTCTTAGTGACAGCAGGTGTGAGTGGAAGCCTTTGTATTCTGGATGTCTTCCTGTTTCTTAATAAAAACGACCGTTGTCTATGTATTGAGTAAATGAAATGTTTTGGAATAAGGTCCAGTGTAGGATGTGCTTTGCTTGATTGTTTGTTTGAGGAAGAATTGAAGTAGAGCTTATAAACGTTGGCTCCTAGCAGAAGATCTACCTGAATGGGAAGTGTCTCATTTTATTAGTGTTTTTTTTTTAACTGTTACAGGACATTAAGGACTGCTCAGCCTAAACTTAGACAAATATGTCTGGCTTTATAAGTACTGTAAATTGCTGCTTCCTGACATCAGAAGCTGGTCCAGCCTCCAATGTTTGTAACACCCATCCAGTCCCCTTGACTCTTTCTAGGGAATGCAGGATTTTAAATTCAGAATATTATTTTATGTGTAAAAAAGAAAAGTGGAACAAAACCCAAACTTTCTAACTATCCTACTGAACCAACCTTGTCTTACACACATATATCGTGCTATTGGTAACATTTGTTAACATAGTAAAATAATGGGAGGGGGATCATATAAATTAGCACATGCATTCCAAATTTCAAAATACTGTGGCATCCCAAGCAGTTTTCCTAGGGATAAAATACTTAAATGGCCATAGAGAGACAGGTAAAATCCAATAAGAGAAAATATCTGTAGCTCAGAGTTGAACTGTAGGGTTCTTGGTATTCTCTGAATTTCGTCTGTTTGCAGACATTTCGTTATGCAACTAAGTAACTTCCTTGTGTCTTGTGATGTTACCAAGTTGGGTAATGAAACGTCTCTGTAAGCAAATAACCAAGAACAGAGAGCACCAAGAACTCCAAAGGTAAGTTTTTCAGGTTATTTTTAGTTGATAGAGCATGGTTATTCTTTGAACTTTGTAGCATAGATTTTCCTGCATAGAATTGGTAGGAGTCCTGTGGATTTTATAATAATAATAATAATAATAATAATAATAATAATGTTGGAAGGGACCTTGGAGGTCATCCAGTCCAACCCCCTGCTCAGGCAGGAAACCCTACACCATTTCGGACAAATGGCTGTCCAGTCTCTTCTTAAAAACTTCCAGTGTTGGAGTATTCAATGCTTCTGGAGGCAGGTTGTTCCACTGGTTAATTGTTCAACTGTCAGGAAGTTTCTCCTTAGTTCTAGGTTGCTTCTCTCCTTGATTAGTTTTCATCCGTTGCTTCTTGTCCTGCCTTCAGGCGCTTTGGAGAATAGCTTGACTCCCTCTTCTTTGTGGCAGCCCCTGAGATATTGGAACATTGCTCTCATGTCCCCCCTCGTCCTTCTCTTCGTTAAACTAGACATACCCAATTCCAGCAACCATTCCTTATATATTTTAGCTTCCAATCCCCTAATCATCTTTGTTGCTCTTCTCTGTACTCTTTCTAGACAGTTTCAGCGTCTTTTTTACATCGTTCAGTGTGTACTTTTTGAAGAAGTAGCTTGTGTTGCAAGTCGGTAGATAAATTAGGTCTAACAGAAAAGTAGGTGAATTGGTAGAAAATGATTTAAAAAATGGAAGATAGAAGATAATAAGTCACACAGAAAATTTTCCAGGAATGCAGCTTTTCCAGATATGAGAACAACTATGAATGCTGTGGGCTTACATTTGGGAGGGTGGGGCAGGCTTAAAATGTAGATGTTTTTCCTGTTGTGTGAATTCTCCAACCTTAAACCTACAACATATTGACTCCCCAACCAGGTGAGAGGAGGTCACAGGATGAGCCATATGGAGGAGAACTTTAGTCCTGAGGATGCTCGCTCACAGCTGGTGACCAAAAGAAAATTGCTTAAGATGCTAAGCTTAAGCCCCGGTCACAGCCAAGCCCGTGGCTCTGAAACAAGGGACAAGAAAATGCCATCTATGGCATGGCCCGTGAAACCAGTGCATACCATCAAGAAACGCAAAGCCTTCTTGGTGCATCGGGGTACCCAGACAGAAGAGATCCCGGATATCTGCATTGAATGTGGGAAGGTCTTCATCCAGAACTCCAGCCTGATCAGCCCGTGGCCTGTCCAAAGCGATGATAAGCCACACAAGTGTTCCGAGTGCGGGAAAAGCTTTTCTGTCCGTTCCAGCCTCAACAGGCATCAGAGAATCCATACCGGGGAAAAGCCATACATCTGTCTCGACTGCGGCAAGCGATTCAACGACAAGTCCAACCTGACTCAGCACCAACGGATCCACACAGGCGAGAAGCCCTACGAGTGCATTGACTGTGGCAAAAGTTACAGCCGCAGCTCTCACAAGAAGAAGCATTCGAAGGAGCCGGTGGAAGAGCCGCAAGACCTTTGCGTCCCGGTGGACAGGGCCAATGCCAGTGCTGTTGACGAGAAGCCCAAAGCGAAACAGAAAGCGGAAGTGCTGAACACGTGTACGGAGTGCCTGCGGAGTTTCGGCCACAACGCTGACCTGATCAAGCACATGCGCATCCACACGGGGGAGAAACCCTACAAGTGTAACATCTGCGAGAAGAGCTTCAACGTCAGTTCTAACCTCTTTCGACATCAGAGAATCCACACCGGTGAAAAGCCATACGTGTGTTCCGAGTGTGGGAATTGCTTCACTGACAAATCGACCCTGGTCCAGCACCATCGGATCCACACTGGAGAGAAACCTTATGCTTGCCGGTTCTGTGGCAAATGTTTCAGCCACAGCTCCCACCATAAGAGACACGAGAAGATCCACAACCGAGAGAATCCGCTGTTTGCCTATCCAATCCCGTTGTTTTAACAGGTTGCTCCCATTGGAAGGGAAGATAGAGATAACTGTGTCTTGGGGAACTTCCTTTATTTCTGTTTATAAAGAGTGTAGGACCCTTTTGATTGATTTCAGTCATCTTTCGGCTGCCTCAGAAAGTTTGCTTTCAGTTGAATATAACTAAAGATATTGTAAGCTCAAAGTGATTCAGAGTAGTCTTTTCCTGCCTGGAATGCTGTATGGCAGCGTTCTTCAACCTTGGCTGCTGGAAGATGTATGGACTTCAACTCCCAGAATTTCCCAAGTAGCTTGCTGATTGGGGAATTCTGGGAGTTGAATTCCACACATCTTCCAGCAGCCAAGGTTGAGGAACATTGCTCTAGGGTCTTGAACTGCAGTTTTAGTGGTTGTGCTTTTCTGGGAATTTATGAAACTATAGTTCAATACATCTGGAGCACACCAATTTAGAAAAAACTACTGGGTAAGTTTGAATGCTCAAAGTGTGCTGAATTTTGGTAAGAGCTTTGGAACGTTCCAGGTGGGTTTTCAGAATATCGATACTTGGTTATTTCTCAGATAGGTCCTTCACAGGAAATTGGGGGTATTTTGAAATCCTGTATATATTACTTATGTTTTTGTATGGAAAACTATCAAATTATTTATTGATAATCTAACTGTATTTAATTATGAGTGAACTTCCTGGTAATTCCATTGTTTTGATTTCCTTTGTTTCTGGATCACCTACACAATCCTTCCTCTCAGCCAGGGATCTCCAGGTATGCTGGATAATGGCGCTCATCCTCCTTTGCTTCAACCTGGGGAAGATGGGAGTTGGAATCACATACATCTGGGTATACTGGACTGAGAGAAGCTGGATTGCACGGACTAGGCCACAAGTGAAGAAAGAGGGGAAGGCTCCCAATCTATATGCAAAGACTTGGTGGAGTAATTTAGGTGAGGTGTAAAATTGCCTGAATAAATCTTTGGCTTTAGGGGAGAATGATATTTCCTGGCCATTGAACACTCTCTACAGCCATCTGCTAAATTAGGAGGCCCAAGTTTGTGAAGCCTATGTTTTGATGGACTGAGATTAATCTTTTTTTTTTTCCCAGAATCCTTGTTGTGGTTAGCTGAGTGGGTTAAGTTCCCTTGAGGCCTCTCTAAAGATTATGTTTCCCAAATCTTGGATCTGTTCTTTGTTGCTCTTTCTCAATCTCCGCATTTGGCAATTAGGAATGGACATCCAGCGGCTGAAGATGGTCATAATTCTCTAATGACAGGAAGACAAATTGTGCGTTGGCATTTTAAGAGACTGTGTGGCTATTGTGCTTGGACTTCCCCAGGCCAGAGACTCCATCAGTTGCTCACCCAGGAGACTGAGGAGGTGTGTATATATATATCTGTGTGGCTGTGGGTCACATTTACACACAGACTGATTAAAAACCAAACTAAGCAAGGTGGGTTCTGAAAGTAAGTCAACACACCTGGATTAGCGGACCACTAAACATATGAATGCATTATGTAACAAAACGGGGGATATTTGTACTTTTTTGTGGTGAGCAGGTCACATATAGATAGCATTTATTCCACCATGAAGAATCTTACCTAATTTCTTAGTGGACCCGAGTCCTGATTTTCTGATGCTATTTTATTTTATTTGAAGTATCACAGCCTTCAGGACATAGTTGGAATATCCGGAAGAGCTGCAGTCACCTGATCCCTTAATTTCTGTGTATGTTCCCATTTGTTAAGTCCAACTTATGTTCAGATACATATTCTCACCAGTTCTGATCCATCTAGCAATCCTTGTAACTCAGACTGGAGAAAATATTGTTTGAATCTTGGCTCTTTGCAGGCAGAGTTGTTCCCTCTGTGCCTTGGATTCTTATCTGTATTTTAAAAAAAAGAAAAAAATGGAGAGAAAGAAAAGATCCATTAGGAATATCTAATGAGAGTTGTTTTGATTAATTAATGAAAAGGCAAACAATGTTGAACTTTAGAAGTCAGGTGGGGCTGTATATCTAGATCTAACAGAAGTAGCCAGAAAATGAAAAATAAGTAACACAGTGGGGAAGGTTTGGAATTAGCTGTCCATAGAAGAATGTTTTTGGCTGTAGCAAAATAATTTTTGTGGCTACCTTTTATCCTTTCCGTAGATATCCTTTATCAAAATATTTGTCATTTAATAGAATCGGATAGGATTTTTGACCTGTTCTAGCAGTTGATTCTACAGGTTAATTAAGGCTTTTAAGTTTTTATTGATGATTCTGAGAAGGAAAGGGGTAAGTTCCTAGTTCTACAGATCGAGGGGAAAAAGAACAACAACAACAAAAAACCCACAAAGCATTCCAGTTGTTTCTGTTTGCATTTTTTTTTTTTATGTTCAAGAGAGCAATAACTTGATTAACACAGGGGCACTTAGAATGATTTCACATTATTTGTAAGAATTTTGGTTTTGCGCTCTTTGTGTGGGTTTGTTTTCTTTGTTTTTAAGTTGGCCTGGTACAACCTGACCTCAAATGTTTCTGCTGCTTTGTCTGCCAACATAATCTCTGAAAAATCACTGCAGCGCTGCCCGCAGTCTAACATTCATTACGTTGGTCATTGCAGCACTTGGCACAACTCTACCCCAAAATATGTTTGCAATGGCCTAGAACAGGGCTCCTCAACCTTGGCAACTTTAAGACTTGTGGACTTCAACTCCCAGAGTTCCTCAGCCACCAAAGCTGTCTTGAGTGCCCAGAGCAGTATTTCCTTTTGTGTTTTGCATTCTTGGATAACCAAGGCAATGAACCTTTGTATCCCCAGAAGCTCATTTGAAAGAATAATGGGGTTTTTCTAGGTCAGTAACTATGAAAGATTCCATACCCGCCTCCTCAAGATCAGTTTCACAGAGGCGGATTGTGGCCTAGTTCACTTTTTTTTTGAAAGGGTTGTGCATCAGTGGTAGGGAACTTTTCTCCCTCCAAATTTGGTTTGTCTCCAGTTCGTAGCAGTCCACGCTGCTCTGTCTAGAGTAGCATTTCTCCGCTTGTCAACTTTATGATGGCTGGGGAATTCTGGAAATGGAAGTCCAGACTTCATAAATTTGCTAAGATTGAGAAAAACTCTGGCCTGGAAGATGACATGCTCCCATTCCTGATCGATCAGTCAAGGCCTGCTAGTTGTAAGAAATTCAGTTCAGTGCTAGTATAACTAGCAGATGTTGAAGGCAAAGAGGGTGATTATGTTCCATCCCGTAACTAATTAAAATCTCTCAGTTTCTAGATGGGTCATAGTAGAGTTTTGCATTATATTACTTTTCTCACTAACTAGGCTGGTCTGCAAAGATGGGGAGATAACCCAACATTCTCAGCAGACACTAAGCCAGTGATGGCAAACCTTTTAGAGCAGTGTTTCTCAACCTTGACAATTTTAAGGCATGTGGACTTCAACTCCCAGAATTCCACAGCCAGCAATGCTGGCTGTGGAATTCTGGGCGTTGAAGTCCACATGCCTTAAAATTGTCAAGGTTGAGAAACACTGTTTTAGAGACCGAGTGCCCAAAAACTGCCCCCCCTCTGCCCCTGCTCTGCCCACCCATAGGGCCACTCGCCACAGATCGCCCAGGCAGCCTTGCAGCGCCATGGTGGCCACGCCCTCCACCCGCACCCCACAGCATCATCTGCACGTGATGGGGCGTGAGGGCGGAGTCTTGCCCCTGCTGCCCGGCTGCCATGTGCTTGGCTGCGCTGCTCTGCGTGGGCTGCACCTGGGAGAGCCTCTCCTCCGGGCAGGGTGCTGGTTGTGGGGGTTGTGGGGGGAGGCGGGGCTGGGGCAACAGAGAGGGCTCCGAGTGCCACCTCTGACATGCGTGCCATAGGTTCGCCACCACTACACTAAGCTGTCGGATTCAATGAGTCTTCAGTCTGAATCAGCAAGGTTATTACCAAATGTTTCCTCCCACTCTCTTGCTTGCGCCAATACTCACACAGTGTTACATATAGTTGGTACACTAAGCTTAATGATGGAACTTGAATAAACTATGTCATCGGGCATCTATGAGGTGTTTATGGTCCATATCTTTCTCATGCACTGAGTTTTCCCACAGTCTGTCCATCTGTTTCCCAAGGCAAGATTTCCCATTAATTTCAGATATAAATACATCTCTACACAGGAAATAACTTTCTCTACACCGGGAGGGTACCATACTGGATCTCACCAGTAAACAGTGGGGGGACCTGGGGCTCTGGATTGGTGGGTATTGAAGCCTAATCCCCATAGTGACTACCATTAATTTAGAGCACAGCTCGGTGTGTAAGTGTGTGTATGTGTCCCTGTGAGTCACTTTTCCTCCCCCCAAAAGGGTAATGTATCATTTTAAAGCAACCATGCTGTTAAAGTGAATGGAGATTTATAATAATTAAATTGGCATAGTATCTAAGCATTTCCCTGGTGAATGAAAATTAAAAAATAAAGTAAAATCCAGCTTATTATGTTCAGTTTGCCTCTTTCTACTTTTCTGTTCTAAATTCCACCACCGACCGTACTTCAAGGGCAGACATGGGCATTTTACAGCCCCTGGGCCACATCTGGCCTCTTGGCTGTCTCTGTCTGGCCCCTTCTAATTTCAGTTGGAAATTAGAAATCAAATGTAAAGAAGAATATGCCATGCACATAGTACAATTGCATTGCCTTTACTGTATTTTGAAGATGACTGCTTTTTATTTTCAATTTATGTATTTGTGTGCATGCATACATACGAATCTTCACAGCCCTATTGATTTGGCCCTCCTTAACAGTCCAATTTCTTATGTGGTCCCTTGGGAAAATGTATTGCCCACCCATGTACTAGGGGCTCACTTCTTTGATTATTAAGCCGTACATACATAACATTCGTGCTACTCCCTTTTGGGGTAAGCAACATTACACAAAGGGCAGAAACGATGATGTCCTTTTTTGCAACCCAGAGAAATGGTAGGCAAGGGCACCAGCATCAGTCACAGTTATGCCATGTGCACCATTTCTTCCTAATGGAAATAAAAAGGCAAGTCATATTTTGCATATTTTGGCCCGGATCCCCCAAATGCAACTGAAGAATGTGTAGCTTATTCTATGCCGAGATCTTGAATTTAGACAGTGACCTGCAAATCAATACAACTGGTATTTGCATCACACCAATGGTAAAGGGCAGCATGCTGACTCTCCGCAGTGGGCAGAAGGAATTACAGGTAGCACAGTCATTTAGTGACAGTTCAAAATTAGGGAGGACCCCCAAACACATGTTACTTACAACCCAATCACTAAGTCGTGGCTGCTGCTGCACCCTCATGGTTGCTCCAGAAAGGTCCACAGAGGTTTGCAGCAATCCAGAACTTGTGTTAAGAGAAACAGCTTGTTCCCTGGGTTGCGTGGCATGATCTCAGAAGTGGCCACCATTTTCAAAGCACCCACAATTCAGCGAGGCTGCCCCCCAAAAGAGCAGCTGCTTCTGGGATCACACCATACAGACCAGGAACAAAGAGGCTTCCCTAATGCCAGCGCCCGAGAGAGGTAAGTGTGTAATGGGTGATGTGGGGTGAGGAGGAGGGTGTGGGGCCCGGAGGGGTGGGAAGTAGGTCCAAGGCCTGTAGGGTCCAAAGCCGAGCACCGGGTGCCAAAGAGTGGGAGAGGCCTTGTGAGGCCTGGGAAGGGCCGATGCTAGGCCTCCCAGGGGCCTCCCCTGGAGGCACCCGATGCTCCACTTAATGACCCATGTGTTCATTTAACAACCATATTGTGGAGAACAGGGATGGAGCTTATAAGTGAGGCGATTACACGGACACTTCACTTAGTGGCCGCTACAACTTCTGACCACAGTGTGCAGGCTCCATTGCGGTCATGAGTGGATGGCTGCCTGTACCCTGAGGGATAGGAAGAAGAGCTGAAGCCAAGACAAGGGTCAGATATATGAAATCTAACTTAATAAAATATGAAATAATGAAATAAAAATATTCTTGAAAGGAAGGATTAGAGGAAATCATTGTTCAGAAAAGAACAACATCCAACCCCAGCTTTGCTTTATTCCCCTCATTCTTAGGTTTTCTCTATGCTTTGTTTCCAATTTAAAAAAATAGTAAAATGTATAAATCTTATCTCTGCCTCAGTGATCATCTACAGCAGGGGTCTTCAAACTTGGCCCTTTTATGACTTGTGGACTTCAACTCCCAGAATTCCTCAGCCAGCTGGCTGAGGAATTCTGGGAGTTGAAGTCCACAAGTCATAAAAGGGCTAAGTTTGAAGACCCCTAATCTACAGCAAAGGTTTCATCACTAACTTTGGGTTCTTGAAAATGCTCCTATTTTGGAGAAGGAGTGTGGAGCTATACAGGTAGTCCTCGACTTATGACGACAGTGGAGTTCAAAATTTATGTTGCTAAGTGAGACATTGGTTAAGTGAGTTTTGCCCCATTTTACAACCTTTCTTGCCACAGTTGTTAAATGAATCACTGCTGTTGTTAGTAACATGGTTATTAAGTGAATTTAGTTTCCCTATTGACTTTGCTTGTCAGACGGTCACAAGAGGAATACCACCACCGTCATCAATATGAATCAGTGGCCAAGCATTTTAATTTTGATCACCTGACCATGGAGATGCTGCAACATTCATACATCATAAGTCAATTTTTTCCGTGACGTGTAACTTTGAATGGTCACTAAATGAACTGTTGTAAGTCGAGGACCACTTTACTTTTTGATATTCCTTTCAGGAAATTGGTGGTCTGGTGAATATCTTAAGCCACGTCCTTCTGTTTTGGATGAATAAATGCAAAAGAATCCTTACCGGCTGTTTCCGTATTCAAAATCACGTTCAAAAACTATGTTCAACTTCATATGCATTGTGTGCTGTTTTTAATCAGCCCAATTGTGAGGAGAATATTCAAACCTGGAATGTTTTTCTCCCTCTCCCTGAGTGAACATTTCTATAATAAGCCTGATGCCTGGGTTTATGTATTCTGCTACACTGGGAGTCACTTAACAAGCCAGAGTTGGCTATATTTACACACTGCATGAAATTTAAACTGTGGTCTCCAATAAGCTAAGCATTCAGTGCAACAAGCCAAAATCAGCAAAGTACCCATAATTTATCCTGATACATGAACTGAGACAGAAGTTTTATTGTTTTTTTCCTGGACTGGGAATTTCTACCCTTGCAAGTATGTTCTGTACTTTTTCTGATGTATTTTGGAAAAATAAATTTAGACTCCATAACAAAACCTTGTCATACATCTAAGGTTCTTTCAGTGGAACCCCTGAAAAATGGTTTCTAAAAAGATAAGCAGGCAAGCAGAATTCTGATGTTTGGCTGTTATGCTTACTTGTATCCATGACATTATTCTTTTGTTTAAATTTGGCTCCAGTCTGAATCCAAGACACTTTTAGAGCACCGGCAATGTTTTTTGAGATCTCTTCTATGTTCTGCATTTGTAGCATTGTTTTATAACCCCTTGGCTGATGCTGTTTTATGGAGAATATCAAGCAACCATGGGAGTTATTTCTTCATGGTCTGCTGGGTGACCATTAGCTGTGAAAGAATTAAACAAACTAATGAAAGATAGGACTTGGCAGCTCCAGGTTATAATCTTCAGATATTCAGTTAGGCTTGCAGGCTTTTCCCATATAGCCCTTCAGCCACTACAAAACGCTTCAGCAAATGTGTCTGATCTAATCAGGCTATAGATAGGTTGGTGGTCTGAGGAAGCCAACTGAAGAAAGTTTTGCTCCTCAGGAAAGGTAGTGACAGACTTATATCCTCCAGTGCAGGGGTGTCAAACTCAATTTCATTGAGGGCCGCATCAGCATTGCGGTTGCCCTGGGGGGGGGCAGGGTGTGTGTGGCCAAGGTGAGTGCAGCCTACTGGGTGGGTGTGGATGGAGTGGGTGTGGCCTGCTGGGTGGGCATGGCCAGCTCTACATAGTTCGCGTCAAGGGTACCTGTGGGGACCTGGGCAGGAGTGGGACAGATCTGAGGGTCTCTGGCAGAAGGGGGTGGGACCGGGGCAAGTGCCAAGGCATGGTCCATTTCTTCATTCCTCACAAAGGGTGACACTTCCCCAGCATGCATCCAGGGGACGAGGCTGACGCGGCAGGGGCTGGTTCCTCACTGTTTCTAGACAGCCTTGTGGAGCTAAGATTGAATGCGTTTCAGCATAGATGGCCACCACAAAATTGTATATTGGCTCCCTCCCAGCTGGCCTGGGCCAGGGCCAAGACAGTGGGGGCCGTTCCCTCACTGTTTCCAGGATGGCTTCGCGGGCCACATGAAACCACTTCACGGGCTGCATCCAGCCTCCGGGCCTTGTGTTTGACATGTCTGCTCCGGTGGCTTTATGAAATACAGTCTGGGCAAATTCCCTGAGCTTTGTACCTCTTTGATACATTAGTTTTATCTCTAAGACAACTTATCCCAGGCTCCTTTTCTTCAATAACTGAAGCATAGAAAGGATTTGCAATTTACATGCAAGTAGTCGTTGATTTACAACCACAGCTAAGGCCAAAATTTCCATTGCTAAGCAAGGCAGTTGTTAAGCAAATTGTACCCAGTTTTTATGATCGTTTTTGCCACCATTCTTAAGCAAATCACTGCAGTACAATGAATTATGTGATCATCAAGTGAATCCAGATTTCCAGATTGACTTTAAAGGTTAGAAGCCAACTGGGAAAGTCATAAATGGTACACAATCCTGGGATGCGGCAACTGTTATAAATACCTGCTGCTTGCTGAGTGCCAGGATGTTGATCACTTGTCTGTAGGGATGCTTTCACAATTATAAGTGCAAGGACTGGTTGTAAGTCACTTTTTTCAGTAGTGTTGTAACTTTGAACAGTCAATAAACAAATGGTCATAAGTCAAGGACCACCTGCATAACTTGTGTGAGTTGAATGTTATAGAAACTGTTATTCACTTTATACCAGGGGTCTTCAAACTTGGCCCTTTTATGACTTGTGGACTTCAACTCCCAGAATTCCTCAGCCAGGCATGCCTGGCTGAGGAATTCTGGGAGTTGAAGTCCACAAGTCATAAAAGGGCCAGGTTTGAAGACCCCTGCTTTATACTTTAGATGGGGGAATAACATTCTTGACAGTTTTCCCTTTCCTTATTCAAACTTCATTCTCTAAACAGAGGTGGATGCAAACATATTTAGGGGAGACATAACATAACGGGCATTTTCATAAAGCTGCCCTTGTCTCCCCAAATAATCACTTCATTCCTAAAACTGTTCTTGCAAGAAGCAGATGTTAAAATGACTAGAGACAGTTTGTGCACTTCCAGTCAATCTCAATGGGTTATTTTAAAGCAAGGAACAAAAATAATTTGTTAAATTATTATTAATACAGTATTAAAAGTAGTCTTTGATTTAGGACCACAATTGAGGCCAAAATTTATGTTGCTAAGCGAGATGGTTGCTAAGGGAGTTTTGCCCCATTTCTTGCCACAATTGTTAAGTGAATCACTGCAGTTGTTAAGTTAGTAACAAGGTTGTAAAATGAATCTGGCTTCCCCATTGAGTTTGCTGGTCAGAAAGCCGCAAAAGGTGATCCCATGACTTGGGGATACTGCAACCATCATAAGTACATGTCAGTTTCCAAGCCTCTTAATTTTAATCACATGACCACGAGGATGCTGCAAAGGTTGTAAGTGTAAAAAATGGTCATAAGTCACTTTTTTCAGTACTGTTGTAACTTTGAATGGTCACTAAACAAATTGTTGTAATTCGAGGACTACCTGTATTATCCAAAGGCCTGCAGCATGAGGTGCAAGGATTTGGGGAAAGAGGTGGGGAGAGCCATATCAGGAGATGAGAATTGGCAGTAATTCCTGCCAAAAGGAATGCAGACTCCCTTCTGCTTAAGTGGAGCTCAAGTGTTTCAATGAGATGGAAGAAAAACAGAGGCCCAAAGTCCCAAATTACATAAGTAGCAAGTGTATTGCTCCAGTAACATCTCACATGATGTACAGCAATCAGTGCGACAACTTTGAAACATATTGTACACGGCAGCACATAGTAGTCAACCTTTCACAAAGGTTGCAACACAAAAAATGGCGGGAGGGGAAGAGTTTTCAGGCAAAAGCACAAGGACAGATTGGATCACATGTTGTATGTTTTGTGAGTGAAGCAATAATCTCATTATCAGGATATTACACAAACAGAAATCCACCACTGCCTCCCCACCACCTGACCACCTCAAGAATTTTTATTTTTATTTTGGGGGGGCTGGGGAACTTTTCAATGCTGCTATTGGAAAACTGAGACAAACAAATGGTTATAAGTCAAGGATGTAATTAACTCAAATTCACCTAGTGCAGGGGTCTTCAAACTTGGCCCTTTTATGACTTGTGGACTTCAACTCCCAGAATTCCTCAGCCAGCCGGCTGAGGAATTCTGGGAGTTGAAGTCCACAAGTCATAAAAGGGCCAAGTTTGAAGACGCCTGATCTAGTGATTTTCCATGGCTGAGAATGGGCCTAAACCTTGGCATCCAAGAGCTGCCAAGGATTTGATCACCATGCCAGCATATACAGCAGATGGGCTTATTAGCTTTATGGTCAGATATTAATATTGGAAGCACACTACTTCAATAAAAATTTGAAGAATATTTGCATTACATTGAGAGGCACTTATGGGTGTATTCCACTCCTGATTTTAGATGGGCCCTGGAGAGAGAAAACACTCATGTAGATAATCTGAAATGAGATCAGTTGCTGGCAAATCAGGAAGGTGAGCTGTGTGCTTTTATATTTAAAACATCTTGCTTCTCCTTGGCCTCTGCACTTGAAAGTTCTCAAGCTGAAGGACTACAAAGAATCGAAGTTTGAAGTTGCAGCTAGAATGCTGGATTAGGTGCTGGCTTGGAAAGCAGGAGAACTTGGAAGCTAAGCTGGTCGGTTTCTTGATAGTTTGTAGCTTGACATTCTGTCTGGCTGTCACAATGAAAACAGATCTGAACCTTTCTTATTGTCCAGATGAGATCTGAATCTTTCATATTGTCCAGGCGGCTTGCACACAAAGGGTCTCAAATTCCATCGGCAGTAACAGAATTACTTGCAGGATTCACCCCAAATCTACATGCTTCACAGGCTTGGGTTCATGAATCTCACTTAGTCATAATGTGGGTTGCTTGATTTGCATCTACATTATTTCCCAAAGACGCTAGGCTTGAAAGCGGGAGATATTGAGTTCAAATCCTGCCTTAGTCATGAAAATCAGCTGGGTGACTTTGGGCTAGTCCCCCCCTCAGCCCAACCCACCTCACAGGTTGTTGTGGTGGGGAAAATAGGAGGAAGGTGCATTGGATTATGTTTGCCACCTTATTTGTAAAAACAATAAAGGTGGGATACAAATAAGTAAATATGGTCAACTGAAAAGGGGCAAGAAATGTAGGCTACAAAAATTCAGGTGGCCACTAGATGGCAGCCACATGCTAAGAGGGGGTGGGACAAGAATCAGAGTGGAAGCTTTAAAGAGAGGGATCCAAATTTATTTACAAAGCTTAAAGCTCTCCCTCCCTCACACTTTATTTATTTATTTATTTATTATTTATGAGACTTAAATACCGCTTTAAGTGCAAGCACTCTCTAAGCGGTGTACACCAGTAAGCAATGTATATATATATTTACATTGCCCCCAACAATCTGGGTCCTCATTTTATCTACCCCGGAAGGATGGAAGGCTGAGTCAACCTTGAGCCGGTGAGATTTGAACTGCTGACCTGCTGAACACAGTCAGCTAAAGGCTCAAGTAATTCAATGAATTTCCACAGTGGGGAAACTTGGAAACTTAATCCAATAAGCAATTACAAAATAAGGGCTTAAAGATCTTTATGATCTTGAAAAATGAAAGGCTTTTAACTGAATTGAAGTCCATAAATTGAGTCAGTTTGGTGTAGTCGTCTTCAAATTATTGAAATTTGAGTATTCTTTATTGGCCAAGTGTGACTGGACACACAAGGAATGTGTCTCCGCTGCATAAGCTCTCCATCTATATGCAAGCAACAATGTGCTAAATAATACATCATATGATACAATCATAAATCATAAAATACAACCAACAAGTGATAGTCATAAGATACCAATAGGAGTAGATAATAGGAAAGGTGAGAAGGATAATACAGGTAGTCCTCAACTTACAACCATAATTGAGCCCAAAATTTGTGTTGCTAAGAAATTTGTTAAGTGAGTTTTGCCCCATTTTACAACTTTTCTTACAACATTAGTTAAGTGAATCACTGCAGTTGTTAAATTAGTAACACAGTTGATAGGTGAATCTGGTTTCCCCATTGACTTTGCTGGTCAGAAGTTTACAAAAGGAGATCACATGACTCCGGGACATTGCAACCATCATAAATGTGAGTCAGTTGTCAAGCATCCCAATGTAAATCATGTGACCATGAGGATGCTGCAATGGTCATAAGTCACTTTTTTGGGATGTTGTAACTTCAAACAGTCACTAAACAAACTGTTGTAGGTTGATGACTACTTGCACATGATTCAAAATCCTTAGGCATAAGATAGTCCAGTGGGAATTAGGTGTTTAGCAGAGTGATAGCATGGGGGGAAAACACTGTCTAGTCCAGTGGTTCTCAACCTTTCTAATGCCGTGACCCCATAATACAGTTCCCCATGTTGTGGTGACCCCCCAACCACTTATACATCACCGGGTGCCAGGGGTGTGGCCAAAGAAAAGGGGAAAAAAATGGCGGACAGCCTTGTTTGGCGACCCCCGTGAAATGGTCGTTCGACCCCAAATGGGGTCCCAACCCAAAGGTTGAGAACCACTGGTCTAGTCGTTTTGGCATGCAATACCCTATAGCGGGGCTCCTGAGGAGAAATTTGGCCACTTTAAGATATGTGGACATCAACTACCCAAATTCTCCAACCCACATGAAGGAGTTGACTCCCCACATGTTAAAGTGGCCAAGTTTGAAAAACATAGTCTAGACTAGAGGTTAAGATGCTAGCTTAGAAACTGGGCGACCAGGAATTCTAGGCACGAAGTCTGTCTCTCAGTCCAACCCACCTCGCAGGGAAGTTGTTACAGGGGAGGGGGGAAGATGAAGAGGAGGAGGAGGGAGGCTGATGTACGCCGCCTTGAGTTGCACAAGAGAAACGCGAGATATGACCCCATTAAAAATCACTAAGCTTTATTTGAACTTCGCCTTCCATTAACTAATCAGGCGTCCGCAGAGAGGCGTGAGCGGGAGACCACAAGGGAAGCCTTTTCGGTATCTTCCGGCATTTCTGCTCCCCTCGAGAGGCGTGGGGGGGGCCTGACCCCTCCACAAATAGCCCCACGGACTATCCTGGAAGGCGATCGGGCCAAGCCTCTCCTGCCTCGCTGCAAACTTGTGGGGGTGGGGGTGGGGGGGGGAAGAGTCTCTGGCGCCGAGCTGGACCTGGGTGCTTTTCTCCTCCTTCAGGGAGGCGGAAAGCCGAGCCTTTGATCCCGGCGAAGAAGCCCGGACTCGGGGCGCGCCCACCCACGCCGCGCAACCGAGCCGGAGATCGGCGGCCGCGAGAGGGCTCCCTCGGTGGAAGAGGCGGCTCGCCCTCCGCCTCGCTTGCTTCGCCCTCCTCCCTCGCCGGCGAGGTTGGGCTTCCCAGGTTAGGCGCGGGTGCCGTTTCCTGCCACTCCTCCTCCGCTGCCAGCTCCGCAGAGCCTCAGCCGCTTGCCCGGTTTCTCGGCCGGTCCGCCCCCGGCGCAAGCCTCGACCGCGGCTTTGCGGCTGCGCCAGCCTCATCCGAGCGACTGACTTGCAGAGCGACGGCGCGAGCGTTTGGGTTCCGGAGCGCCTGCCTCTCTCGTAAGCCTCTCGTCCCGGTCTCCGCCGTGAGCGCGAGCCGGCTCCGGACAGGCAACAACGGCTTCCTTTTCCATCCAAGGAAGGGAGAGAGAGAGAGAGAGAGAGAGAGAGAGATCCGGCGCCTCGTCCTTTCTGCTTTGCTGTCCTTCCTGGCGCGTGATCCGAGTAAGCTTCGTCTCTCCTCTGTGCAGTTGTGGTGTTTGGTCTTCAGACAACCCGCTGCTTCCTCAGCTGGCTGCAGATAAAGAGGATGAGCAGGGCTTAATGCCACCTGCGCCTCAGGGTGCCTTTCAATATGGCCAAAGCCCGCGGGGGTGACGTTTTGCCCATTAAGATTCGCTTTGGCTGGAGTTTCTCCTTCTCTGGGGCTCTTAAAATGGACAGAAGCTTCTCAGGGTTTGGAAATGGGTCCCCTTCAACGCACGTGTGTTGGAACAGCGACCGCTGAGAACTGCAGGGTCCAGGCAGTGGGCAGAGTCCAAGTTAGGAAGGCAGCTTGATGCAAAAGTGGCAGCCCTGCTAGGGGAAATGGCCAGTGGCAGACAAAGAGTGTGAACAACCAATAACAGTCTGTGTAATGGACAACTGGAAATTTTGTCAATATGCAAATTTTCTAATATCACAGGTAGTCCTCAACAACTGAGCCCAAAATTTCCTTTACGAAGCAAGGCAGTTGCTAAATGAGTTTTGTCCCATTTTACAACACTTTTGCTACAGTTGTTAAGCAGAACATGTGGTTGTTAAGTGAATCGGGCCTCCCACATTGACTTTGCTTGTCGGAAGCCAACTGGAAAGGTTACAGATGGTGATCACATGATCCCAGGACAATGCACCTGTCATAAATACATCTCAGTTGCTCAGTGCCTGAGTGATTTGGGCCATGTACCACCAGGGGGGAATGCTGCAATGGTTGTAAGTGTAAAAACTGGTTGTAAGTCACTTTTCTCAGTGCTGTTGTAACTTTGAATGGTCACTAAATGAATGATTGTAAGTCAAGGACTACCTATATTAGGTTTTTGACACAACACATACTTGTTTGGAATTTATGTGGCTTTGTGATTTGTTGTCGTTGTCTTTGAACAGGTTAGGGAAATACAAGTGTGACCTGGGAGAAGAGTTCTCGGTTCCATGATGCCTCCGAAAAGGTCCCGAGGGAAACTCCCTCAGATAGCCACTCGTAAAAGACGCTCGAAGAGTCGGTGGAAGTCGGAGGAGCAGCAGAAGAGCAGCCTGCTTTTGGGAGAAGAGAAAGGGAAAGCAGGGAGCCCCAACAAAAAGGCCAGGAAGCGAAAGGGCACCACGGCCCCCCAGAGAAGTTACGCGGGGGAGAATCCTAACATCTGCACGGAGTGTGGGCAAACGTTCGCGCAGACTTTGGATTTGGTGAGCCACCAAAGGATCCATGCTGGAGAAAAGCCCTATAAATGCTCTGACTGTGGGAAAGCCTTCAGCATCAGTTCCAACCTGAGCAGGCACCAGAGGACTCACACCAGGGAGAAGCCCTATCTTTGCTCAGAGTGTGGGGAAAGCTTCACAGACAAGTCATCTTTGGATCAACATGTGCGAACCCATTCAGGGGAGACCCCCTTCCAGTGCATTGATTGTGGGAAAATGTTCCGGCAGAGTTCCCATCAGAAGCGGCCTCTGAGGAGCCCCCCAGGAAAACAGCAGAGCAGCTGCACTCCTTCAGAGACTACTGTGGTCACCACCAGCTCAGCTCCTGGCCGTGCTCAAAGACCCCGCATTTCTAAGAAGCAAGACTCTCCCTTTGAAATCCCCCACACGTGTGCCGAATGCTGGCAGAGCTTCAACCAGACCTCAGACCTGGTCAAGCATATGCGCATCCACACGGGCGAGAAGCCTTTTGAGTGCAGCCACTGCGGGAAGTGCTTCAACGTCAGCTCCAACCTCATCCGGCACAAGAGGATCCACACAGGGGAGAAACCTTACACCTGCTCCGTCTGTGGGAAGAGCTTCACCGACAAATCCACCCTCACCCAGCATAACCGCATCCATACGGGAGAGAAACCTTACACCTGTAGTTACTGCGGGAAAAGCTTCAGCCGGAGTTCTCACCACAAGAGGCACCAGCGGATCCACATGGGGGAAAATCCGGTCTCTCTCCTGCCTCTGTGGCCTTATCCTAACCAAATGTACTGAGAGCCCTTCTGTTGGGCAAGGCAGAATTTCCACTCCACATTTGCAGCTGATCGTTCAACCTGGGTTTCACCTGGGTGTTTGGATCCAGAGCAGGAATGATGCTTCACCTCTGGTGTGGAGCACACTCACTCTTCAGTAGTGGCCAAAATTGTGGAAACCTTTTGGGAAAAGTGTATTTTTGAGGTTTGATGGCTAATAACACTACTTTTTTTTTTTGGAGTAGTACCATGAAATTATATATCAATGGAAAGATAATTTAATCAAGTATGTAATGCAACATAGTTTGTTCAATTATCTGTACTGTATTCTATGAAAAGTTATAGCCAAATAACCAGAAAAAAGGAAGCACAACTTGCTTAGGTTGATATCAGGTAGCTTTCCTTCATCTGATTGTAGCCAATGAGCATGAGTGTTTAGAGAGCCAATTGAGTGGCATCTTGTTTTGGCAATGAGCCAATCAGATCACAGTAGGATTCAGTTATTGATGTCATGTATTGAAGCTGAGAGGAGGACATTTGTCGGTGTTATGTGATCGCTATCAAGTTGGTTGGGTTTTTTTGGTGTTCTTTCATTTAGTGAGCTTGTAAAACGTAATAAAAGTACAGTAATGGTGCAAAGAGTTGACTGGTTGCCCAGAAAGCGATGTAGAATAGTATTATTAAGTGAACAAGGCTACAGTTATAAAGAAATTAGAAGAAAAATTGGTGGAATCTTAACCAAAGGTGGCATTTCTACTGTACACTTTTCCCAAAAGGTTTCCACAATTTTGGCCACTACTGTACCTGTCCATGTCCCTTCCAAAAAAAAAAGTCACACAGTGAGACTTGGAAAAGATGTAGGTTTTTTTAAAGATATTGTTGACAGGCATACCACAGCAGACCTAAAACACCTTTCCCATTTTAGATGGGAATGCTATACAGGGAGTCCTTGTTTAGCGTCTACCTTCTTTAGCAACCATTTTGCAATTATGACAGTGATGAAAAAAATAACCTCATAACCAATCCTTGCGTTTACAACCTTTTCAAGTCTGCAAAACACAGGAAAACTGAAGTAGGGTCATAAGCATAGGGGTGTTTCATAACCACTTTGCTTAACAATGGAATTTTCAGTCCAATTGCGGTTGCTAAACAAGGACTACCTGTAGGTTCTATTATTTACCTCACATGCATCTAAATGTCCTAAGATGAACGCTCACATTCCATGAAGAGAGAGAGAGAGAGAGAGGAGAGGGAGAGAGAGAGAGTGAGGACAGAGAGAGAGAGAGAGAGAGAGAGAGAGGAGAGAGGGGGGGGAGAGAGAGAGAGAGAGAGAGAGGAGAGGGAGAGAGAGAAAGAGGAGATAGAGAGGGGGGGGGAGGAAGGTTTGGATTTTCATTTACCAAAGTCAAGATCCTTTCCATGAATGGGACTGGAGCTCTTTCAGCAAAACTTTTTGCTTCTGTTTTGCAGGGATTCCTGCTCCATCTGGACTTTTCCGTCCACCAAGGCGTCTCAAAATATGCAGACAGGTTTTGTAACTGTTCATAGAATATTATTGTAATTTAATAAACAGGTTTAATGCATGATGTTTACAGATCTAATTGACACTGTTGCACTGAGTATGTGTCAGAGTCAGTTTGATGTAGTAATTAAAGCACCATGCTAGAAACCAAGAGATTGTGAGTTCTAGTTCTGCCTGAGGGCAGCTGGGAGATTTTGGGCCACTTCCTCTCTCTTAGTCCTCGAAGAAAGAGGTAAGGGCAAAACACTCCTGAAAAACCTTGCCAAGAAATCTGTACAGATTAGTCCAGCCAGTCTCCAGGGGTCTACAATGACTCCAAAGCACGCACAGTTACACACACACAGGCACATACAGAGAAAACCTGAGTATGAGAATAGTGTCTTCCTCTGATGAAGATATTAACAATGGGGTCCTTGCTTGTCTTTATCTTAAGCTTCTATAGCAGCGGTTCTCAACCTATGGGTCGCGACCCTTTTGGGGGTCGAACGACGCTTTCACAGGGGTTGCCTAAGACCATCGGAAAACACGTATTTTCAATGGTCTTAGGAACCGAGACACCGCTCTTCTATCCGGCGGCCGCCGTCGCCCTCCTCCTCCTCCGCCGTCTCCTCTGCCTCCAGGGCACCCTTCTCCGACAGCGCCTGCTCCTGCTGCCACAGTGCCATCCCATGGCGGCCATGCCAACTGCCAGCTGCTGGCCGGGAGCTGGGCCAACTGCCAGCTGCTGGCCGGGAGCTGGGCCGACTCCCAGCTGCTGGCCGGGAGCTGGGCCAACTCCCAGCTGCTAGCCGGGAGCTGGGCTGACTCCCAGCTGCTGGCCGGGAGCTGGGCTGACTCCCAGCTGATTCCCAGGAGCCGGGCCGACGCGCGGAGGCTGGGCTAACTCCCAGCTGACATGCGCATGCCAGGCTGACTCTCAGCTGGCTGTCGGGAGCCGGGCGGTGTGTAACGGCCCTGCCAGTTCCCCACTGACGTCCGGATGCCGACCCAACTCCCAGCTGACTGTCGGGAGTTGGATGGTGCTCATAGGGGCCATGCGGACGTTGGCCGGCTGCTTACTGCGTCCTCCCCGTCTCCCGGCTCATGGCAAGCCCAGGGGCTTGACACACGCCCCCGACGCTGCCCCGGGCTGGCTCAGCTGCGTGGGTGGCTGGTCCGAGCCGAACTGGGTCTGGGCCGCTGCTGGTGCTGCTGCTGGGCTGCTCCGCCACTGCCGCCGCTGCCGAGCTGGTCCCCATGCCTCCTGGTTGCCCGGCCGCGCTCTGCCCCCGGCCGTGCTCGGCGCCGGAACATCCCCCGTGCTGCCCAGCCCGCCTCCCTCACCCTCGGAGGCCGCCTCGGCTCTCTGGCGCCCTGCACGGCCCTGGGTCTGGCGGGCAGGAGCGACTCCCGGCTCGCCGGGCTCCGGGCCTCGGAAGCAGCCAGGCGGCAGGGAAGAGGGCGATGCCCGCTTGTGCGTCGGAGGCCAGCCGGATGGGCCGGGAGGGGAGAAGCGGCACCTTCCGAGTGGGAGCTGGCACTCCGGCTGTGCCCCTCTCGCGTGTGACGAGTCGGGGAAGGGTCGTGGCGGTGAAGGACTGTGCGGCGTGGAAAGGGGCTCCCACGATACTGCCATTGCAATGGCGCTCAGGCTGGAGGGGCGGGCAGGTCCTGGGGGGGTGGCTGGGAGAGGGCAAGAGGTGCCGGGATGAGGCTGGGGGGCTCCAGACTACCAACCTCAGCAGCCCTAAAAAGCACTGTGGAAGAGTGGGGAATGCTGGGAGTTGCAGTTCATCACCATCTGGGAAAACATGACTCTCCAAAGATCCTTCCTTCCTTCCTTCCTTCCTTCCCCCTTCAATCTCCTTGCTTCTCCATCTCCTTCCTTTCCCCTTCAATCTTCCTTCCTTCCTTCCATCTCCATCCCTTCCCCTTCAATCTCTCTCTCCTTCCTTCCTTCCCCCTTCAATCTCCTTCCTTCTCCATCTCCTTCCTTTCCCCTTCAATCTTCCTTCCTTCCTTCCATCTCCATCCCTTCCCCTTCAATCTCTCTCCTTCCTTCCTTCCCCCTTCAATCTCCTTCCTTCTCCATCTCCTTCCTTTCCCCTACAATCTTCCTTCCTTCCTTCCTTCCATCTCCATCCCTTCCCCTTCAATCTCTCTCCTTCCTTCCTTCCTTCCTTCCTTCCTTCCTTCTTTCCTTCCTTCCTTCCTTCCTTCCCCCTTCAATCTCCTTCCTTCTCCATCTCCTTCCTTTCCCCTTCAATCTTCCTTCCTTCCTTTCATCTCCATCTCCATCCCTTCCCCTTCAATCTCTCTCTTCTTTCCTTCCTTCCTTCCTTCCCCCTTCAATCTCCTTCCTTCCTTCCTTCCCCTTCCCTCCCAACATTTTTGAGCAAGGAAGAGTAAGCTTCTCCAGCGAGCATTGCTATATTGTTTTTGTGATTAATCACTATGCTTTAATTATGTTCAATTCGTAACAATGAAAATACACCCTGCATATCAGATATTTACATTACGATTCATAACAGTAGCAAAATTACAGTTATGAAGTAGCAATGAAAATAATTTTATGGTTGGGGGTCACGACAACATGAGGAACTGTATTAAAGGGTCGCGGCATTAGGAAGGTTGAGAACCACTGTTCTATAGGATTTGTTGTGTACTCTTAGATTTCCTGCAAATTGATTGACTGAATGGTTTTTAGTCTGTCCAAGAAGTGGGGGCGGGTGGGTGGAAGGACAAGGCTCTGTTCTTTCTGGCAGCCAAAGGAAAAGTTATCCTATAGGCATGGAGCTCCATGGCAGAGAGGGAGGGGTCGATAGCACTTGAGCAGCTGGAATGATCAAAGCTGTTTAACTTAGTTTATCCATTCCAGAGAACTGCAATTGTCTCAAAATGGAAGTCTCTGATTTCCTGAAACCACAGAAGTACAGGTCTAGTCCTTGACTTACAACCACACTTGAGCCCAAAGGCTTCGCTGCTAAGTGAAACATTTGTTAAGTGAGTTTGGCCCCATTTTACAACCTTTTCTTGTCACAGTTGTTAAGTGAATCGCTGTAGTTGTTAAATTAGTGACAGGGTTGTTAAGTAAATCTGGCTTCCCCATTGACTTTGCTTGTCAGAAGGTCGCAAAAGGGGATTGTGTGACGCTGGCACACAGCAACCGTCATAAATATGAGCCAGTTGCCAAGCAGCTAAAATTGTGATCATATAGCCATGGGAACGCTGCAATGGTTGTGTGAAAAACGGTCATAATTCACTTTTTTCAGTGCTGTTGTAACTTTGAACGGTCACTAAAGGAACTGTTGTGAGTCGAGGACTACCTATATATGCAGACTTTGGGCATTGCAAACCCCAAGTCATATTGTTGGATCATCTGGGAATTCATCTGATACCAAAACAGAACTGCAGTGTTTCTCAATATTGGCAACTTTAAGACGCATCAATTTTAGCAGCCTGGCTGGGGAATTCTGGTAATTCAGACCCACACATCTTAAAAGGTTGCCAGGGTTGAGAAACACTGTGCTAGCAACTCTCTCACATATCTTTCTTACCATCATAGAAACTTGTACAAATAGTCCTTGACTTAGTTTAACAACTAAAGTTACGACAGCATTGAAAAAAGTAGCTAATGACATGTCCTCATACTTACGACTGTCATAACCTCCATGTGGTCATGGGTTTGTGATTTGAGTGGGTGGCAACCAGCATATATGTATGACACACGTGCCTGGCTGAGAAATTCTGGGAGTTGAAGTCCA